ATCTGACCAACATATCGACAGTGGGTCAAAACGCAGCAGAACAACTGAGTCTGACCACACTACATCAGATGCTCGTGTTCAGTTTGATCTGAACGAAGATGAACATGTTCCAGTTTCACCACCTTCTCGACCATTGGGAAGAGACAAATCAAAAAGCAAAGGCAAAGGCAAAGCCTCGGATTCAGATGATTTGAAAGAAATGGGAACCGACATGAAGGATATAAAAGAGAGAATGGATAAGATTTTGAAAATTGCTTCTGAAAGAGAGCTTCGGAAACAAAGGGAGAGCGACATGCGAATACTAGCAATGGACACGTCGAATATGACCGAGGCGGAGCTTGAAGTGGTTTTGGCGATGAAGGAGGAAGTGAAAAATCGTTACATGAATCGTGGCTAATTTCTAGTTTTTTTTTTCAAGTCTTTAATGGTTTCTTGTGTGTTTTTTTTTAAAGTTGTCGGTTTTTTGTTTCTACTTTGTTTTTCTAAATTTTTAGGTTTTTTTTTTTTTTAAAATTAGGCAATGTATGGTATTTGTATTTTTAATTAATGAACTCTTATGTTTTTAAAATTATGTTTTTTTTATTAAAAAATAAGTTTTATTAAATTAAAATAGTTAACAAAAAAAAACAAAATAAATAAATAAATAAATAAATAAAACTAAAACTGTGGCACCACACCCTTGGTGTGGCAAGAAACCACACTTAAGTGGTAAACTGTGACATGGCGCTTACGTGGCGAGGGAGGGAGTGCGGTTTCGGTGGCACCACTCCCTCAGCCTTATCTGTTTTAAAAGACAAAAGTGCACAAATGGTCCCTGTGGTATGCTGAAAATTACCACTTTGATCCAAAAAGTTTTGGACTAGCACCACAAGTCCAAAGTTTTCATTTTCTTGCGAGTTTGGTCCAATTTACTTTAATAATTTTTGTAATGACAATCTTACCCTTCTTTTTTGTTTTTTTTTTCAGTTTTTTGTTTATTTAAATATTTTCTTAATTAAAATAAAATTAAAAAAGAAAATAATTCTCTCTCTCTCTCTCATCTAAATTTTTTCTGAAAATTAATTACCACCATCGTTAATGAACTCGACCATGTCATAAACTCAAGAACATCTTCCCCACCGCCATTGTTGGACCACCATCCATCACCACCACCGTTTTCCACCACTACAGTCTGATGCCACCACCGTCCACTACCTCCATCTTCGACTAAATGTTTTCTACTTTCACAATCTAAAATGAAATTAGGGCTTTTAATTTCATTCCCGTGTTCAATGTATGATCGGGCAATGGATAAACACATATGAACACAAGGCAGCAGAAGGAACGGAAGCGTCATTGCAAGTAGAGGAGAAATCGAACACCAATTTCGATTTTGGGGGGTTTGATCCTTGGTTCCTTGCTCGTCGCAGGCCAGAAAAGGGACCAAGGGAGGTATCGGCGATTGCAGATCGTGAGGAAGGAGAAGTCTCCAGGTCGACGAGAGCGAAGTGACGCAGGTGGGAAGAAGCAGCGAGTGGCTGTGATTTTGGAGTTGTTGGGTTGTGGATGAGTAAGGGGAAACACCCTCGTTGTTTGAGTGAACTGAAGAAGGGAAGAAGAACATGGCAGTGAGGCTGTCGTCGAGCTTGGTGGGTTCAGCGAGGGCTGCTAAAGCAGCTCTTGGTTGCTTGTTTCTGCTCCAGCTGAGGATCACGAGGGGGGAGGAGGGAAGGAGTGATGAGACATCGGTGCAAGTGGGGAGGCTCGTGGGTTGATCGAATGCTCAGAGGTTGTTTACTTCTTCTTCTTCGTTTTTTTGATAAAAATTGATAAGGTTAAGCAGGTGTTTGGGATTGATTCTTGATAGAAATTTATGAACGGAAATGATTTTTAGGGTTAATGTTTTACAGGGGATCCATGGGTGTTTGTATGTTTTTCTTGATAGAAATCGATGGGTTTAAATCAATAGCTTTAGGTTGGTGTTTCATTTTGCTTGATAGAAATCGATGGGTTTAAATCAAATTTTGGTGTTTGGGATTGTATGAAGTTTGAAGAACATCATCCGAGTTTCCAAGAAACAAGAGAGGGAAGAGTGAATCTTGGAAGTCTGGAACCTGAGAGAGAGAGAGAGAGAGAGAGAGAGAGAGAGAGAGTTTAATTTTCTTTTAATTATCAAAATATTTAAATAAATAAAAAACTGAAAAAAAAACAAAAAAAAAACAAGGGTAAAATCGTCATTACAAAAATTGTTAAAGTAAATTGGACCAAACTCGCAAGAAAATGAAAACTTTGGACCTGTGGTGCTAGTCCAAAACTTTTTGGACCAAAGTGGCAATTTTCAGCAAACCACAGGGACCATTCGTACAGTTTTGTCGTTTTAAAATCACGAATTCCTCATGTCGCTTGGGTTTTTCCCTATTCTCGAATTTCCTTCACAAAAAATCTGAATCAAAATCACTATTGGGTGAAAAGTGGTACGAGCCTTAGGTTTTATGTATGCCTCCCATTGTTGTATGTTTTTCAGATCCCCCATCCACTAAGAGTGGAGGAGAACCACTGAAAGTGTCATCGGAAGAAGCTAGCGCTTCTTAAGCTTTCTTCCTCGAATTTATTCTTTTTATGGATACATTGAAGAAGAAGATTCGGTTTTTTTCTTCTTAACAAATCGATTTGAAGAAGCAGATTCAACTTTCTTGTTTCTTCTCCATTTCGGTTTATTTTTTATCAGGGGTGGTACATATTCATGTAATGATCGGTATTAAAATTCTATCTTTTTGTATTTTTGTATCCCGTCCAAATGAGTTTTGATTTTTAAGATCATCAAAATCATGTTACATATGTTTATTCGGTTATTTAGTGATGAAATTATATGTAGCATTGTTGTTTGTATTTGCTTTTTGGTTCACAGATATGTTTTAATCTTTTTCCAACCATCTTTGTTTCTAATTTTGATTTCTTTCTCATCTATCAAGATTAGCCTATAAACCTTTGGTTTGATTATTGTAGTTAAGTAAGAAGTTGAAGTGCTGAAAGGGCTTCATTTAGGGCTTATTACAACTTTAGTATGCTAGAACAAGATCCGGTCTACATATAACTCTTTTAATATGGATCTTAATTATTTTTTCTCATATAAATATTTAGTGGCAACTCTATAATTGGTTTTGTTTATGTATCTATAGTTTATGTGGTTTCCTATAAACCAAGATAAATAATCTCAAGAAGAATGTAATGGGGCTTGTGACTGCTCAAGAATACACATGTTTTAGCAACATACTTTGAATAGACTGCAATAGAGAATTTTAGTGCTTTGTTGGCGGGTTGTAGGTTTTTTATAATGTAAATGAAGTGAGGCTCAAATTAATATAAACATAGAAAATCTTATCTTTTGATCGAATTTAATATAGCTCTTATAATGAAAAATGATATCATAATACTATTAGGTAGATTTTAAGAGTACAATGTCTTAATAGGAAACTAATTGGAACTACATTGCATGTCATTACACAAAAAGAAACTAATTGCCGAAATAAAACTATTCGTACCCTTGTTTGGCGCGGAAACGACTAGTGTGTGTGTGTATGTGTGTGTGTGTGTGTGTGTATATATATATATATATATATATATCCAAATACTTAATTTAATAATAATAAATATATTTGAAAAATAAAAACATTATTTTTAAATTATATTATAACTAAACAACTAAATTACTCATTTGCAATCTCTCCTATAATTGATCACCTTAGTCACGATATGGTTATTCACGAGCTGTTTCTTTGTCGTTTCATATTTTGCATAATCGATTAGTAAAACCAGTGATTGCATATTCCTAATCAATTGTTAAATAATATATTTCAATTCCTACAATCGATTTAGAAGACCAACAATTATTCTCTTTTAAGTTCTTTATGTGGTTCTTGATACACAAACCACATCCATGATTTGTCCCGATTGTGAGCGACCTCCTAGGGTTTTGAGCCAAGTCATTCCTAAAACCATATCAAGTCTGGCTAGTGAAGAACTCATGCCAGAAATCAATGAAGGACTCATCCCGATTGTGAGTCGAACTCGGTTTTTGTCAATGGTTATATATATTTGAAGGTTTAAGTCTATCATCTTTGTAAAATGCTCGTTGTTTTTCTTTTCATTTCCTAAGGAAGTATGGATTCTTGGTGCGAAATTCTACAACTCTTCCCCTCTTTTTATGTTGTGCGAGCTTAAGATGGTTGTATAGTAAAAAAGCCTATGTTCTTATTTCTCTTTTACCTCCTCCAAGTTCGATTTTTTCTTTAACCGAACTCAAGTTGACTCTAAATGCAACACACGACAGTCGATGAGAGTTGGAAGTGAATACCTTTCTCCTTTGGCTTGTTCTTGTTTCTCTTTTACCTCCTCAAAGTTTGACTTTTTCTTTAACCAAACTCAAGTTGACTCTAAATGCTTTCCACCAAGGAATTCGGACCTTTTGCTTTGTTGTATTTGGTTTCGGATAGATTTTTGGCAAACATCATCGTCCCTTGACCTTCTAAAACTTGAAAGGTTGTCCAGAACTATGGTTTGGAGGCCGTAATGTTGTGCAACACGATGAGCTGCAATACACAGATAGGAAGTAGGCAATTGTTGGAATTTGAATTGATGTTGTTCTAAGTTCTAGATGAACTTCAAAATGTTGAGTACCATCTAATGAATGGAGAGACGAGGACATGGGTTCTAACAAACCTTGACCAATAAAGAATACACTGACATAGATGCGTAAGACGGTTCACCCATTTCCGATTTCTCATGGTACGTCAATGTCGCTCTTGGAGTCGTACGAAAACTTACAGAGGTTGACGATTGCACCAATCTAGGGCTATACGGTTCATATGTGGACTTAGTTTATCCTTGACTTTCATAACCAAGTCCAAAAGGTCCAATTTCAATGAGCCCATATCTATAAATCCGGGTCCATATCCTTTTTAAACCTATTTTGTAACATCCTAATTAATAAACCCTTCCGTTACTTCAATTAACGGAAATAACCTTCTTACAACGTTCTAGAATATACATGTATAACTCTATGTTAATTATGCTAATCGGTGGATTCTGGATTCGTATCACGATGTAAACCCAAAAATACAAACATAGATATAGCTGTTATATCTAAGTAGTCCATATTCATTACAATCTTGACAACAAAAGTATCGTATATGTACAGCTACCACAGTCAACAAAAAATGCTAAAGCCTAAGCCTCTCTCACATAAAAGAAACCAAGTGTTAGTTACTACTTACTAGCTGCACACCTCCGATTTATGCTTGAAGAAAAGCGTTGATTTTCCTTGTAATGCGCACCCATTGTTGAATTGCAACATCCTTGGATTCAATATAAACATAATTGATATTTTTTGCTAGTGGTTGCAGATACTGTTCAATAACCAATGAAACCCATTTCTGTGTATATTTATATATACAACATGAAATATAATTAGAACAATTATGAAACATCACAAGGTATAACAAAGAACAAGGAATGAACTGAAATTAAAGCTTCAAAGGGAAACAGACTAACAAAAAACAATAATAGAGAAACAAAAATGCTTAATCTCAACTTGATGTGATCGTATAAATAAACAAAGTGGAAAGATAATTAAACCTAATTAAGGAAGTTGCTTACAGTTTTGATTGTCTCCACATGAGGTCCAGCCCATTTTCTAGCTTGTTCCTTTTTCTCTAACACCTGACACAATTACAAAATGAGAACTTACATATTTTCTCATAATTAAGACAGAAAGTAAACAATTCTACCAAGTATATCCTTTTGTTGCTAAATGACACATGCAACAATGTCCAATAAAATTCAGATATAAAAAAGTTACCTTTTGCATAAATGACTTAAAAGCAGATTTTCCATGCTCTTTCCAGCGAATCTCAACAAAAGACTGCAAGATAGTAATGTAGTCAAAACAAATATGGTGCAGAAAACGAGATCAATATATATATATGATTGATATTGGAAACACAATTAAGGAACATAATAAACATTTGAAAGAGCTAATAGCATTGTGCGATTGCTGCGAATGGGTTTCTCAAGTTTAAATACCTCACTTTGCAATGAAGTTATGCAATCTTTCTCTTTTTGTGCAATGATCTCATCCTTGCTTTTTAGTTCTTGATTCCTCTTGTCAATAAACGATTCTGAAAAACAGCATATAGTTGATGTAAATACGCCAAGTTTTGTCATTATATGCTTCCACTACATAAACCTTACACGCTAACTTTCACAAATCACACAATTGAAGTTCAAATAGAACACATGTTTGGAGACCGAGTTTTAGTATGCTTTTTCTCTGCAGGTTGAAGGTCATTTGACCAATAGGCTGCCATTGATTATTCAAACTATTTACCTTAAAACTTACTAAGAAACAGTAACCCTAAGGTCGTCAATTGGTAAATGGTTAGAAAGGCTTACAAATTAGTATCTCCAAGATTCACTTGAGGTCAAATAAATCAATGAGTTAAAACTTAAAACACATATTCCAGGGAGATAAAAGAAGCTAACAATAACTTGAGTGGACAAATTGAACTACACCGATATAGAAAAAGAAACAGTGTAGCTTGACAAAATTCAAAATTTGATAAAGTAAAGGGGTAAAGGAAGAGGACAAACCAAGTGCTTGGATCTTGGAGATGAGTTTATCGACTTCGATTCGAAACGCCTCGCAATTGTCCGACCCAACTACAGCTTCTGTAATGGTACTATCGGCTTCAGTTAGAGTAAAAATTAGGGCAAAAAGAAGCGAAACATAGAGGATGACATGGAACTTCGAGGTTGCCATAGATGTAAAGGTAGCGACCGAAATCCAAAAAAAAAACTCTGAAATCAGTGGCGTCACTCAGCAAGTACATAAAAAAATAAAAAGTCATTACCTTTTGTTATTTTTATGGTTTAAAACTTTAAAACTTTATATTTATTTATTTTATTAAAGTTAGTTTTATTTTGAAAATATAAATCATTTGATCGGGTTAACATTTTTTTTACCAAAACAACACCAAGTTATAATTCATAACCCCTTAGTTTTGCAAAGACTTCTTTATATGTAACATTTTATTTCTCTAATATTAACAAAAATTTAATAATAACTAAATAAAAATAAACAAATTTAATGAGTAAAAATCAAAATAATGAATAACTGCCAATAACAATTATGAACAAACAACTTGAAAACCCCAATCTTATACAGTTATATCCATTATGGGTGAGCATAATAACCAAAAAACCGAACCATAACCAAATTAACCGATATAACCGAACCGTTTTAAAAAGCGTTGCTTCGGTTTCTAACTTTTGTTAACCGATAACAAACGGTTCAGTTATGGTTTTATAGGTTAACCGAACCATTATTAACCGAACCGCTAACTTTATATTTTAATACATAAAAATATGGATTATATATAAAATAATATAGTCAAACTTATTTAAGACCCATTAAAATGTTAAAATATAATTCATTAATTCTCACTTATCAGGAGACGAACGTGCAATCAAACCATCAAAGGATGATTAAGCAGATCATGTAGACACACATAATTTTTCAATAATGCATTGAGTTAGATTATTGATTAATGTTGTAGTTCTTAATCGGCTAACCATCAAAGGATGATTAAGCAGATCATGCAGACACACATAATTTTTCAATAATGCATTGAGTTAGATTATTGATTAATGTTGTAATTCTTAATCGGCTAATTCTATAATTTATAAACATTATTCACAATTAGTTTAATCTTCACACTCATAATCCTAATCGGAGGCTTCTCACACCGTTAATCCTAATCAAAGATTGTTTTGACTTTATAGTTCTATTCGAAAGATTTTTTTAATTTATAATCCAAACTTTTAGGTAAGTTAAGTTTTTGATTCTTCTTCACTTTGTGATATATTAAGAATCTATATTTTTTTAAAATTTTCTTTTTTTATTTACTGTTTTTAACTTAATCACATTGAATGTATATGAGTGATTGGTTTTTTTTATCCAGATAACACGTAATATAAATGTTTAGCTATTTTATTGGATAGTTTTTTATTTAATCGCATTGAACGTGTATAAATGTTTGGCTTTATTTTAATGTTAATATCAATTATCAATATATGAAGTTATTAATGTAAAAAAAAATGTTTTATACTTTTTATTAAATGTTTTTGATTTTGAATGTGACTATGTATTATCTCACTCTAAGTATCAAAGATACACATTTTATTATATTACTATAAGCTAGGTGACAAACATTGGTGTCAATGACTTTTTGTATTCTCTTTTTATTTTTTATACCACTATACTTTCGTGATTTATATTATTTTGAACATTATGGTTAACCAATATTAACCATTAATCAAAACCATTAACCGATAAAAACCATTAACCATAATCAATATTAACCATACTCAATGGTTACCAAAATGCATTAACCAATCATAATGGTTATGATTCGATTTTGACCAATAACCGAACCAAACCGCCCCATACACACCCCTAATATCCATGTGAAACCTAAACTACTAAATGAATAATTACAGTAGAAATACAGTAAATATGAGAAATTGTACCTAATCCTCACTAAATTTACTAGCATCATGAATTGTATTGAACAATTTTTTTTAACGGCAAATCACATCTATGTCCTAAACGAGACTTATCCTCAACTTCAAAGAGAGAAGACAACTCTTGATACTGTTAGCTAGAAGTATTTTTAATTATATTGGACAATTCAGATTTGTTGGGCAGATATCGACCAGTGAACCTTTCCAGAAGCAGGTATGTTCAGCTCCAGGTGAGTTTGTGATTCTTTGGTTTAGGTGTCAAGATGTCCTCCACCATTGGTCATTGAGTTCGTCTTTCAGCGGGAATTCCTCGCAGGATTCAAGAGGCGACAGTTAAGAGCAAGGAATGTGTCACCCACCCTCCAGTGCAGTGTGTTTATGTTTCCCTTGGTCCTTGGGTAAGTTCTCCCTCAGTGGCAGAGTGGAATTTCTTATTCATAGCAGACTTGGGTTTGGAAACTTTTGAGACCGCCTTGGAAGTCTTCTAGGGCTAGTTTCGTGTAGGTAGAATCCGTGCAGTCTCGATCAAGTATGGGATCTTGTTTCGATCGGTTATGTGGATGTCTTCTGTTATTGGTGGAGGTGGTGTGTTGCTTTATCTCGGGAAATATTTCCTTTTGGAAGAGGGTTGGGTTTATCTAAGAATATGCATGGTTCTGTTGGGTTATAGCCTTCGAATTGGGTCAAGAGTTTGACCATTATCCTGTCCTCGGTTTGGGTGCGACCATAGGTTCGTAAGGTCTAGCTTGGGTTGCGGCATAGTGATGCACATTTAGTATTGTGTGGGACGGTGATTCGGTCCCATCAAGGTCGGTATGAGATCAGGAGCATTTCAATCATGGGTTGTGGGCCCAATGGCCTGGATTATTCATTTAATCTATTTGTGATACTCTCAGTAGTAACGTGTTGACACGGATTGGAGAATCCATAAATCAGTTGGTTGGATAGGGAACGGTCAAGGGCCATTGAGAATACCAGTCAGGTATCAGCTTGAATCTATGGAATGTTTGCTTTGTATTTCGTTTGTTCGTAAGTTGTTATTTAGATCGGATCTAATGTGGAAGTTCTTGGTTTGATCATCTTCTTTTGTTGGTTTGGAGGTTGGTAAGGGCATGGCAAAGAGTCAAAGATTATACTAAGGTTTTGGTGTATCATATGGATTCGGATTGGGAGAGGTTCGCTATCGACTTGTTTAAGGATCTTTTATGCATGATTTATGGTATCTTCTGTCAGAAACCTGGGGTGGATTCATGGATGGCCATTTTAGGATGGCTTATAGTGGAAACTTGCGTTGGGAATCGCAAGTGTATCCGTGTGAGCCATGCATTCTGGAGGCCAGTGAGGTAAATGGGGGAACCTTTTTGTTTTGTGGTGCGAATCGCGAGTTTCAGGAGAAAGTTATGATGTCATCAATGGGAAATCGAGGGTTGTTGGGTTAAAGCGTCCCTATCTTTCAGGTTGTGGGAACCGGGTTAGATCTTTCTCCTAATTGTTTATGGCAACACATTATGTTAGTAGGGTTGAGGCAGTAGGCCAAGATACCTGGTGCGGGCCGACTGTAAGTCGTAGGCACGAAGATTTAGGGGGAGCAGTAGGCTTGAGGCAGTAGGCCAAGATACCTTGTGCGGGCCAACTGTAAGTCGTAGGCATGAAGACTTAAGAGGAGAAGTAGGGTTGAGGTAGTAGGCCAAGATACCCGGTGTTGGTCGATTGTAAGTCGTAGGCATAAAGACTCGGGAGGGGCAGTAGGGTTGAGGCAATAGGCCAAGATACCCGGTGCAGGCCGACTGTAAGTCGTACGCATAGAGACCCAGGAGTAGCAGTAGGGTTGAGGCTGTAGGCCAAAATACCCGGTACGGGCCGACTGTAAGTCGTAGGCACGGAGGCTCAGGGGGGAGCGGTAGGGTTGAGGCGGTAGGCTAACGAACCCTAAGAATTTCAACTCGATGGTTGATTGGATTTGAAAGGTTGGTATTCCAGCCCGAGGCTGATCGGGCTAGTCATGGGCGTTTATGGTTATGAGCTAGCAGTAATGTGTATATTGGTTCGGGATTTTATCAGTAATGTGGTCATGGGCGTTGATATTCTAGTATGTATAGTCAATCGACTTTAGGTCAAACAACTCCAAGACTCCATTCTTTTGGAATTGGGCTATGTGCTTCTTGTTGACATGTCCAAGATGACAACGCCACAAGCATGCCTTGTCTAAACCATTAGACGAATCGATATGTAACACATTATTTCTTAAGTTATCAACAACCATCATAGTTTCATATACACCATTACAAGGCAATGCTTCAAAATAAAAATTACCATTATAGAATGAATTAATAGAACCAATTTCACTGTTAAACAAAAATCTAAAACCTTGTTTGTACAAACCATGAAAAGAAATAATATTCCTCGTCATCTCTGACGAGTAGCAACAGTCATTCAAATCTAGCCCTAACCCACTACTAAGCACTAAAGAATAAATCCTGATCTTGGTGACAAGCGATGATTTCCTATTCCCCGTTATTAGGTTCATCTTCCCATGATCCACATCCCTACATATTTTTAGCCCCTACAAATCAAAACAAATGTGAAAACCACATCCTGTATCAAGGACCCAAGAATTAGCATGTGATGAGTTATTAGAATGAATAGTGTAAATACCTGCAAAGGTGGGTTTTGTCTTCCCATCCTTGATATCCTGCAAGTATTTAGGGCAACTTCATTTCCAATGCCCTTTGTTATGACAGTAGAAGCACTCGGCTTCTTCGGGATCAGATAAAGGAGCAACAGAACCACCTTTTCCTTTTGATACATTTGAAGAAGATCCGTCATGAGACTTTCCCTTTTGATTCTTAGAGGGAACTTTCATCTTCTTCCCATTCCCATGTCCAATAGCCAGGACTGGGGCAACAGCCATAGGAATGGATGCGACAACTTTGTCTTTCAACCCACTTTTAGCAGTTCTCAACAACCCTTGAAGCTAGCTCAAGGTGACTTCCTCCTTGTTCATATGATAAGTCATCTTGAACTGATCATAACAAGGAGGTAAAGAGTAGAGAATGATATCAATCGCCAGCTCTTCGTCAAAGTTGACATTCAACTTGAGCAATCGATCCGCATACCTTTGCATCCTTTGCAAATGGATCATGATGGACTCTCCATCTTTCATATTGGTTGTGATTAACGAGGCAACAATCTCGTACCTTTCTTGACACGCACTTTGATGGTACTTTTCCATCAAATCTTGGCACATCTCGTAAGGCCAGTAGTCCTTGTATAACCGATGCAACTTAGGAGTCATAGTGGCTACCATTATACACGACACCTTTG